GCCCTGCCAAGGCCCTCCCTGGCCCCAGGCAGGCAGGGGTGGGGAGAGGCGGGGAGGGAGCAACTTACCCTCCCTCTTCTCCTGCCTCCTCCTGGCTGAATGAGGGCCGGAAGCGGGGCGGCTGGAAGCAGGGGGCGGGGCTTCATCGTGTGCCCCGCCCCCACACCTCACCCGGGGGAACTGCGTTCCCCCGCGTTCCCCCCCGAAATGACCTCTGCTCAGCCCCACCTACCTCACAGGGTGTCTGTTGTGGGGAGGGGAGGGGAAGGGAAGGGAAAGGAGAAGGTAAACTGCTCTGAGACTCCGAGTGAAGAGCGGGGTATAAATCCAATCTCCTCCTCTTCTTCTGCCTCCAAGCCTAACTTATGTCACAGGGTAGTTGAGAAGTTAAAATCAGAGAAAACTCCCATACACCACCCTGAATTTCTTAGGAGGAAGAGGGGAATTCCACTGCATTTAGGAAAAACAAGAGGAAGAGGAGGAGATTGGATTTATATCCCGCCATTCACTACCTGAAGGAGTCTCAGAGTGGCTTACAATCCCTTTCCCTCCCCACAACAGACACCCTGTGAAGTAGATGGGGCTAAGAGAGCTCTCTCTCGAGAACTGCTCTGAAAGAACTTATGACTGACCTAAGGTCACACCAGCAGCTGCATGTGGAGGAGTGGGGAATCAAACCTGGTTCTCCCAGATTAGAATATACACTCTTAACCACTACGCTAAACAAAGGATTCTGGTAGTAAATCCATGGCTCTGTAAAGGCTACTAAAGTAGAAGGGCGTCTAATTTGAGTGCTTAACGCTAAGATTCCGGGGAGAATGAAATTGGTTGCCAGAAGTGGTGGTTGGAAGCAACAAGCCATGCGTAGTTAGAGAGAAAATGCTGGTTAACTGGCCTTCGATGAAAGAGCCTGGGTGACCAGATATGCCCCCTCCTTTGCTTGACCTTGGAACTACCATTGGTTCAGCAATGGGAGGGAATAGTCAGGTCTTCACGCTATAAAAAGGCAACAAGGCAGAGACGATCTGAAGCAGCCCAACCCAGCCGCCACCATGAAGTTGATACAGGTATGTGCAACGAAGGGGAAATCCTGAAGCAGAAATGGGGTGGGTGGATACTGGGGAGGTTGGCTCTTAACAGGAAACACAGGGATGGAACTCAAGAGTTGCTGGTTTTCCTTTCTTGATGCAAGAAGGTTTTTAAGTGTTTGAAACTTCTACCTGGCCTGCAATACTGTTCCCTACTAGGGAGCCGTCCTCAATCTCTATACCTGCAACTCTCTTAACAAAAGGGTGCGCCTATTACTAGTTCACTAGCTTAGCATAAGTAATGAATAGTCTGCTTTTCCTCATTACACCTGAACTTGGCATAATTATATTCTGCTCTGTGCTCCCTGTGTTCCAAACCACCTATGTATTGTGATCGGATGGTAAGGATTTGCACGGCATTTGAAGAAGCACTTGTGCTGGGGTAAAACTCTTTAAGTCTTTTAAAAAGGTGCCACAATACTCCGTTTATTTTCATTCCAATAGTTAACAGCCAACCCCTCTGGAATTAATTTGGCGTATAACTTGGGGGCCAAACTACATACAAGGATCAGAGGAATCAGCACTCCCAATTAATTTAGTTTCAAAAAGTGTGTGTGCGTGGGGGATCCATATTAAGGCCCTGGTGTGATCACATCGCCTGAGTCATGTGCTGTTTGGTTCTTCTGAGAATGCATGTCTAGGGACTGAGCTGTAACTTACATGAAGGATGGAGTACTTTCCAGTTCTATGAAGAGCCACAAGAGAACAGCTTGTCATATACAAAAGAGGGAAGATGTAGGCAGAACCTCATCAATTCAGCACACACTACAGGGGTGTGCTTACAGTTTTTCTCATGCTGAACACCACGAGAGTGGAGCCGCTCAGCATGAGTACCGTACCTTAATTCTCCCCCTAAGCAGCCTTAAAGCACATTCATGGGACTCCTTAAATAAAATGCTAGGTTGATCGGCCATCATCTCTATCACGGCTATGTGCTCTTATTGTCTTCCTAATGTTCTTGCATGCACTGACCCGAACTCTGGAAGTACATTTATTTCTCACTTGGATAGACTATACCTTGTACATGTTTAAAGGATTAGCCATTTTTAAATGAACACGAAAGGACGGAGGTACATCTACAGTTTCCTCTTTATGGCTTCAACCTTGCCACAGCAATGAATAAATTGGTGTTGCAGTTGCTGCACAGGCTACCTTCAGAAAGGGCAGCTCAGAAGCCACTTCCACACTGCTTTAGCTTCCAAACCGCAGCACTTTCCCCAGAACATCAATGCATAATGTGCTAGTATGCATCATTCCCCTGTCCTCAGTACGCTCTCTCCCAAACTTGCTTTGATTCTTGTAGCAAGATCACAGCCCAAGTGTGTTATCATGTCTGTAAGGTGCCATTAAATTGCAGCCAACTTGTGGTGGCTGATGTAGAGAGCATGCAGAGAACTCTGGTGTGGAAGCTCTGTTGCCAGTGCTCACAGGCTCTGCAGTGTTATCATGTCTGTAAGGTGCCATTAAATTGCAGCCAACTTGTGGGGACCATGTAGGGTTTTCAAGACAAACAGAGGCGGTTTGGCATTGCTTGCCTCGGCGTCATGACCCTGGGCTTCCTTGGTGGTCTCCCATGCAAGCATTAACCAATGCCGACCTTGCTTAGCTTCCGAGATCTGGCTAGCCTGGGCCACGGTGCTATCAACAATTATAGTTTTTTAAAAGCTCCGATAAGTCCTCTGGCGGCAGGACAGGAAAGTAAGATGCAGGGGAAATGGTGGCTGATGTAGGAAAGCACGCAGAGAACTCTGGTGTGGAAGCTCTGTTGCCAGTGCTCACAGGCTCTGCAGCCGCAGCAGCAATGGATACAGAACAGAGATTCTACACTGTGTGGAAGCGGCATAAGAAGCCAGAATTTGACAGACCTCGAACTCAGGGGTGCATTCAGACAAGCAGCTGCAGTGGTGGACGCCAGGAAGGGCAGACATCCTTGTGAATGTCCCAACAGGGTAAAATCAAATGATCTCTCCCTTTAACGCATGGCGTAGGCCATGTGCGTATGTCTCTCTCTCTTGCACCATCTGGTCGCTCTGCTCCAATATGTCAGAACATTCAGTTACTACCCACCCCCACACACCAAAGGCACAATGCGGCAAGCACACCACCACATGGGCTGCTTGTATCAAACTGCTGCTGCGTGGAAGCCGACGGGTGACACAGCAGGCCTGATCAGAGCATCGGGTAAAATCCTTCTGTGCCGCCTGCATCTCTGACTCCTCAATAGCTCTCGCCTTCTCAGCTCTCCCCGCATTTCTGTCCAGGAAAAGAAGCCCTTGGTGGCGGTGATCTTACTCATGGTGGCCCTCCACTGCGCCGGCCGCAGGAGCGATCCTGTCAGGAGCCCGTCCTGCCGCCCCGTCAACACCACCATCGCCGCCGAGAAGGACGACTGCCCTGTCTGCATGCCCATCACCACCTCCATCTGCGGTGGCTACTGCATCACGAGGGTGTGTGTGAAACGGCGGGGGGGACGGGACTCTATATGGGGGGTGTGTGTGGACAGGACAGAGCCATAAGAACATAAGAGATGCCAATGTTGGATCAGGCCAAAGGCCCATCCAGTCCAACACTCTGTATCACACAGTGGCCAGAAACACCAGGTGCCATCAGGTCCACCGGTGGGGCCAGGACATTAGAAGCCCTACCACTGTTGACCCCCCCAAGCACCAAGATGACAGATCATCACTTGCCCCATAGCCCCTATCTATACCTTGTGGCTAATAGCCACTGATGGAACTCTGCTCCATATGCTTATCTAATTCCCTTTTGAAGCCGTCCATGCCTGTAGCCGCCACCACTTCCTGTGGCAGTGAATTCCACGTGTTAATCACTCTTTGGGTTGAAGAAGTACTTCCTTTTATCCGTTCTAACCTGACCGCTCTGCAGTTTCATGGAGTGCCCACGAGTTCTTGTATTGTGAGAAAGGGAGAAAAGTACCTCTTTCTCTACCTGCTCTTTCCCATGCATAATCTTATAAACCTCAATCATGTCACCCCTCAGTCGTCGTTTCTCCAAGCTAAAGAGCCCTAAGCGCCTTAACCGTTCCTCATAGGGAAAGTGTTCCAACCCTTTTATCATTCGAGTTGCCCTTTTCTGCACTTTTTCCAAAGCTATAATATCCTTTTTAAGGTGTGGTGACCAGAACTGCACACAGTATTCCAAATGAGGTCGCACCATTGATTTATATAGCGGCATTATGATATTGGCTGATCTGTTTACAATACCCTTCCTAATAATCCCCAGCATAGCATTGGCCTTCTTTATTGCAGTCACACACTGTCTCGACATTTTCAGTGAGTTATCCACTACAACTCCAAGATCTCTCTCTTGATCAGTCTCTGCCAGTTCAGACCCCATCAACGTGTATTTATAGTTAGGATTTTTGGCTCCAATGTGCATCACCTTGCACTTGGCCACATTGAACCCCATTTGCCATGTTGACGCCCACTCGCCCAACTTTGACAGATCCCTTTGGAGTGCCTCACAATCCTCACTGGTTTTCACCACCCCGAACAACTTTGTATCATCCGCAAATTTAGCCACTTCACTGCTTACTCCCATCTCCAAATCATTAATGAACAAGTTAAAAAGCAGTGGACCAAGTACTGATCCCTGCGGTACCCCACTGCTTACCACCCTCCACTGAGAAAATTGCCCACCTACACTCACTCTCTGTTTTCTATGAACTAGCCAGTTTTTGATCCATAAAAGGACTTGTCCTTCTATCCCATGATTTTTGAGCTTACTTAGGAGCCTTTGATGAGGAACTTTATCAAAAGCTTTCTGGAAGTCAAGGTAAATAATATCTATTGGATCCCCCTTGTCCACATGTTTGTTCACCCCCTCAAAGAACACTAACAGGTTAGTGAGACAAGATCTTCCCTTACAGAACCCATGTTGAGTCTGCCTCAATAGGTTTTGTTCATCTATGTGCCTACTAATTCTTTCCTTAATAATGGTTTCCACCAATTTACCCGGTATCGACGTCAGACTGACAGGCCTGTAATTTCCCGGATCTCCTCTGGAACCCTTTTTAAAGATGGGAGTGACATTAGCTACCTTCCAATCCTCAGGAATGGAGGCAGATTTTAAGGAAAGATTACATATCTTTGTCAGGAGATCTACAAGTTCACATTTGAGTTCTTTCAGAACTCTCGGATGTATGCCATCTGGGCCTGGTGATTTATCAGTTTTTAAGTTGTCTATCAGTTTTAGGACCTCCTCTCTCATCACCTCAATCTGACTCAGGTCTTCCAACACCCCTCCTGAAATCAGTGGTTCTGGAGTGGGCAAGCACTTCTCATCTTCCACAGTGAAGACGGAGGCAAAAAATGCATTTAGCTTCTCAGCCATTTCCCTATCATCCTTCAATACTCCTTTTACCCCTTGGTCGTCCAAGGGCCCCACTGCCTCCCTGGCTGGTTTCCTGTTTCTAATGTATTTGAAGAAAGTTTTATTGTTGGTTTTTACGTTTTTTGCTATATGCTCCTCATATTCCCTTTTTGCCTGCCTGACCTCAGACTTGCATTTTATTTGCCATAGCCTGTGTTCCGTTTTATCAGCCTCACTGTGACTAGCTTTCCACTGCTTAAAGGAATTCTTTTTACTTTTTACAGCCTCCATTACTCTGTTTGTTAACCATGCAGGCTTTTTCCTATACCTGTTTGTGCCTTTCCTAACCTGCGGAATATATATTTTTTGAGCTTCTAGGATCGTAGTTTTAAATAGATCCCAAGCTTCCCCAATTGTTTTGACCCTTTCTACTTTTCCTTTCAGTTTCCTCCCCACGTAGTGGGGAATCAAACCTGGTTCTCCCAGATTAGAGAACATAAGAACATAAGAACATAAGAGATGCCAATGTTGGATCAGGCCAAAGGCCCATCCAGTCCAACACTCTGTATCCCACAGTGGCCAGAAATACCAGTGCCATCAGGAGGTCCACCAGTGGGGCCAGGACATTAGAAGCCCTCCCACTGTTGACCCCCCCCCAAGCACCAAGATGACAGAGCATCACTTGCCCCAGAGTCCCTATCTATACCTTGTGGCTAATAGCCACTGATGGACCTCTGCTCCATATGCTTATCTAATTCCCTTTTGAAGCCGTCCATGCTTGTAGCTGCCACCACTTCCTGTGGCAGTGAATTCCAAGTGTTAATCACTCTTTGGGTGAAGAAGTACTTCCTTTTATCCGTTCTAACCCGACCGCTCAGCAATTTCATGGAGTGCCCACGGGTTCTTGTATTGTGAGAAAGGGAGAAAAGTACCTCTTTCTCTACCTGCTCTTTCCCATGCATAATCTTATAAACCTCAATCATGTCACCCCTCAGTCGTCGTTTCTCCAAGCTAAAGAGCCCTAAGCGCCTTAACCGTTCCTCATAGGGAAAGTGTTCCAACCCTTTTATCATTCGAGTTGCTCTTTTCTGCACTTTTTCCAAAGCTATAATATCCTTTTTAAGGTGTGGTGACCAGAATTGCACACAGTATTCCAGATGAGGTCGCACCATTGATTTATATAGCGGCATTATGATATTGGCTGATCTGTTTACAATACCCTTCCTAATAATCCCCAGCATAGCATTGGCCTTCTTTATTGCAGTCACACACTGTCTCGACATTTTCAGTGAGTTATCTACTACAACTCCAAGATCTCTCTCTTGATCTGTCTCTGCCAGTTCAGACCCCATCAACGTGTATTTATAGTTAGGATTTTTGGCTCCAATGTGCATCACCTTGCACTTGGCCACATTGAACCCCATTTGCCATGTTGACGCCCACTCGCCCAACTTTGACAGATCCCTTTGGAGTGCCTCACAATCCTCACTGGTTTTCACCACCCTGAACAACTTCGTATCATCCGCAAATTTAGCCACTTCACTGCTTACTCCCAACTCCAAATCATTAATGAACAAGTTAAAAAGCAGTGGACCAAGTACTGATCCCTGTGGTACCCCACTGCTTACACCCCTCCACTGGGAGAACTGCCCATTTATACTCACTCTCTGTTTTCTATTAATTAGCCAGTTTTTGATCCATAAAAGGACTTGTCCTTTTATCCCATGATTTTTGAGCTTGCTTAGGAGCCTTTGATGAGGAACTTTATCAAAAGCTTTCTGGAAGTCAAGGTAAACAATATCTATTGGATCCCCCTTGTCCACATGTTTGTTCACCCCCTCAAAGAACATTAACAGGTTAGTGAGACAAGATCTTCCCTTACAGAACCCATGTTGAGTCTGCCTCAATAGGTTTTGTTCATCTATGTGCCTACTAATTCTTTCCTTAATAATGGTTTCCACCAATTTACCCGGTATCGACGTCAGACTGACTGGCCTGTAATTTCCCGGATCTCCTCTGGAACCCTTTTTAAAGATGGGAGTGACATTAGCTACCTTCCAGTCCTCAGGAATGGAGGCTGATTTTAAGGAGAGATTACATATTTTTGTCAGGAGATCCACAAGTTCACAATTGAGTTCTTTCAGAACTCTTGGATGTATGCCATCTGGGCCTGGTGATTTATCAGTTTTTAAGTTGTTTATCAGTTTTAGGACCTCCTCTCTCGTCACCTCAATCTGACTCAGGTCTTTCAACACCCCTCCCGAACTCAGCGGCTCTGGAGTGGGCAAGCACCTCTCATCTTCCACAGTGAAGACGGAGGCAAAAAATGCATTTAGCTTCTCAGCCATTTCCCTATCATCCTTCAGTACTTTTACCCCTTGGTCATCCAAGGGCCCCACTGCCTCCCTGGCTGGTTTCCTGCTTCTAATGTATCATCAAATCATGGCTTAGCATTAGACTCGCCAGGAACAGACCTGAAAAGAGTTTTATAGGCAGCCATCCACTTCCTTCCAGAGCATGAGCCACTTTTTGGGAGACGACTAAAGATGTGCCAATTCAGGAGCACCTGTTACTCTCAGCCTGACATCTTAGCTCTAAAACCACCATTCAGAAATAGCACACTGACAAGAGAACACTGCACTGGCCCTGTGGTCTTGGGTGATGCCAATAGCCCCGTGCTCCTCACCACCTGCTGGTAAGTGAGCAGGCATTCTACGCTTATGGGGAAAAACAGACCTTCACTCCCAGGGGAGGGGAATCGCCTGTGCCAGTCTCCTAGCAGAAAGGTACAGTTTCTGATCTTGTAGTGCCAGCAGGTGTATGGCTGCAGCAGAAAAAATGCAGGGTGCTTTGTAATCCAAAGATAAATACCAGAATGGGTAAAGAGGCTGGCAGAGATCACAGAAGTGGAAGGGACCTACAGGGTCATCTAGTCCAACCCCCTGCACAAGGCAAGGAAATTCACAACTACCCCCCCACACCCCATGACCCCTGCTCCATGCCCAGAAGATGGAAAAAAAACCCTCCAGGATCCCTGGCCAAACTGGCCTGGAGAAAAATTGCTCCCTGACCTCAAAGTGGAGATCAGCATTTCCCTGGGGGTGTAAGAAAGGGCCACAAGAACTAAGCACTGAGGCAACCCTTCCTGCCCTCCCTCTCATGATCTGCCTAAGTTTGCAGGATCAGCATTGCTGACAGATGGCCATCTAGCCTCTGTCTGAAAATCTCCCAAGCAGGAGAGCCCACCACCTCCCAAGGAAGCCTATTCCACTGAGAAACCGCTCTGTCAGGGAGTTCTTCCTAATGCTTCGTCGAGAACTCTTCTGATTTAATTTCAACCCACTGGTTCTGGTCTGGCCTTTTGGGGAATGTGGGGTACTGACCGAAGGCTGGCGATGGAGGGCTTTTCTCTTGTTAAACTGCTTTCTTGGCCGTGAGTGAGAGTGAGAGCTAGTCTTGCAGAGAGCCCTCTGTTCTAAACCCTCATCCTTCACAGGAGATACTGCTCAACGTGCCCTCGCCCTTCATCCAAAGAGCCTGCACTTACAAGGAGGTACGCTACGAGACTGTGCGCCTGCGTGGATGCCCAACGGGAGTGGACCCGACCTTCACCTACCCCATGGCTCTCAGCTGCCACTGTGACCTCTGCAAGCTGGACTCCAGTGACTGCACCGTTCAGAGTATCAGACCCGATTTCTGCATCAACCAACGCGTCATCCCCCAGTGAAAAGGGTGGGGGGAGGAAGTGACCAATAAATGCCTTCAAGACCAGCAAGGGTGTGAGCCTCTCTAAAGGGGTGTGTGTGTGTGTGTCAGTCAATGAATGCGGCACAAGAATCCTGTTTTCAGCATCCTTTTAGACTGCTTTGACACACCAGGGCTACTTCTCCCCCACCTTGCTTTCTCTACAACCCCTTCTACTTTTCACAGACAGCCCCAGTTCCAGCCCTCTCCTGTGCACTTTTAGGACACTAGAACTAATGCACCACCTAAAGGTGTTTTGGTTTTAAGCTCCCAGTCACTACTATCCATTGGTCAAGATTTCTGTTTCAAGGGAACTCCCATTTTGAAACAAGACAATGTTTAACTTAAATTCAGTTACATCAGACACGGGCCTAACGACACATCGCAGTTTCCCCTCAGTCTCCGCAATCACACCCGTGTTGCACATTCTGTGCTGGATGCTCAGTTCCCAGATCTAGATTTCTTTTAAGGGAGCTCCCATTTTGAAACAAGACAATGTTTTAACTTGGATTCAGTTAAATCAACCTGCCACCTGAAAATCAACCTGGATGTTCTGTGTACATGCTGCATTTTTTCTTGGGGCAGGCGGGTGGTGGTGGTGGTGGTTAAAAACTGAACGAGGAGAGGTTGTACTGGGCAGCATGGATATGAGAACTAAAGGGCCAAAAAATGCAGGTGGAGGGGAAGGCTGGCTCCTAAAACAGGCTTTTGGTTCAGATGGCCAGTTTTTGAGGCTTAAAGGGGGGGGGGGAACCAATCTCCCTTTGTACTTCTCCAGCTGACAGTCTCCCCCCAGCCTTCTTCCTTGCCCCCTCAGATTCTCCAATCTCCATCTTCTCCTTACAGATATGGGCATAACGTCACATCACATCTTCTCCTCGGTCTCCGCAATCACACGTGTGTTGTACGTCCTGTGCTGGATGCTCGGTTCCCAGATTTGCAGGGCCCAAGTTGGAAGGCAACCTCAGGGACCAGGCTGCTTATGCCTCCCCCCCCCCCCAATGCCATTTTTCTGAAATGGCCCCAGGGGGGCACTGTTTGCCCCACCAGGGGCTCCATGCATGATGATAGGGTACACCTGAGTATCACCAATGGGGCAAGCAGAGGCCCCCTCCCGGGGCCATTTCAGGTCTGGAGCACGGTGAGACGGTGAGGCATGAGCCTCTTCTCTCCCCACATGCCGTGCTCCCAATCCAGATCAAGCTTGCAGGGCCCTGGAAATTAGCATGAAACTCACCACACACATCTGATCACGGGGACCTAGGGGAAACAAAGCACAGTCTTCAATCCTAGCCTGAGGGCCAGTTTGGTGTAGTGGTTAGGTGCACGGACTCTAATTTGGGAGAACCGGGTTTGATTCCCCACTCCTCCATATGCACCTGGCTGGATGACCTTGGGCAAGCCGTAGTTCTGATAAGAGCCGTCCTTGAAAAAAGACCAGTTTCTGTCAAGAGCTCTCTCAGCCCCACCCACCTCACAGGGTGTCTGTTGTGGGGAGGGGAAGGGAAAGGAGTTTGTAAGCTGCTCTGAGACTCCCTTGGGTAGTGAAGGGCGGGGTAGAAATCCAATCTCTTCTTGTTGTTGTTGTTGTTATTATTATTACAGTGCACGTCCCATCCTGTTGAATGCATTGACTTCCATCAGATAAGCCATCTTCAGCCCCAGCAAGGAAGGATAATTATGAGTACTGTAGAAAAATAATGTGGGACTCACAGGGGGAGAATGGCATCCAGACCTCCCTGTGAAGTAGCAATTCAGGGGGCCAGCTGGAGAATTTGGGTTGGGCTCGGGTTAAGACCCTGATTTCCTTTCCCCATCTCTGGCAAGTGCCACCGAGTCCAGAGTTCCAAAAGGGGCACCAGCAGGCTGAGCAACTAAGCGTGGTTACTGTAGACGGGCACCCGTTTTGAGAAAGACCAAGATGCAGAGTGCAAGAGAATAATAATATTTGCTAACAAACAGGAGAAAAAAATATTACAGGTGAGATGGGTCGCCCGACAGGGAAGTGAGAGCAGAAAACGTTTCAGCTCTGGGTGACTCTGGAGCAAGATCCTCCACCGTCAGATGAGGTCCATGAGGATGTCGTCTTCCATGACACTCGGGGCCGGAACCTGCTGCAAGCCTTGCTGGGATACAGGTCCCCGGGGACCGGCGTTCATCAGCATCTGACCTGGGGAGGGGGCAGAAAAGGAGGGAGGGGATATAGCAGGTTGAAGGGACGTGGTGTGTGGGGACAATCTCTGGGACAGGAATGTTTTTCGAACCAAGAGCCCTGCCCAGCTTCTCACATGCAGCTGTCCCTGGGGTGGGGGAACGGCTGTTTTTGCACAAATATGTGAAGTCACCACGGTACCTTGCAACGGTGCCCGGGGCACCATCTGTGCAGGCCACTGTTGTCCGGGGGCTTGGTGCATGAGGGGCTGTCCTGGGAGCTGGAGCTGCTGCTGCCCGGGAGGCTGATGCCCAAGAGCCTGCCCCATGGACTGATGTGGCAACATTCCTGGAGAACCCTGCTGGAGGTGGTGGAGGGGCGGCTGAGACTGAGGAACTCCAGCTTGCGGCTACGAACATAGGAAAGCACAGGACGGAAGATCAGACACGTTGGGTTTCACCGTGCAAGTTCATTTTCAACGGAAGGAGAGGCAGAACCTGGAGCAGGTACGTTTTTTGCAATGTTTCTAGAGACAGGTCTATGTAAATTGCTTAGCTTTTCCAGGGAAGGAGTCTTCCCCATCCCAGTTTCAGGGCATGCTTCAAATTCAAGACTTGCAGCACTGCTGCTAATTGTCTCTCAAATGCTTTCCCCTCTCCAAGGTAGCATATTTCCCTTTTATTTGTTGTTTTTGCCATCAAGTCACAGTTATGGTGACCTGGTATGGTTTTCAAGGCAAGAGACCGTCAGAGGTGGTTTGCCATTGCCTGACTCCATGTCACACCCTTGGTATTCCTTGGAGGTTTCCCATCCAAATACTAGCCAGGGCCAACCTGGCTTAGCTTCCGAGATCTGATGAGACCAGGGTATCCTGGGCTATCCCTCTTATATAACAGGGCTTTTAAAAAAAGTCTTCTATAGGATGGAGGAACTCCGTCCCACTGCCCATGTGACCTCCTTGAGGCTTTGGATTCTGGTTCCCTCCCTTTCTAGCTGGCTGAGTGTGACAAAATAATGTTTTCTGAAATGTGGTGGCAATGGTTTTAGCACATATTAGCCATCTTCCAAGGCACATTTTCTGAGCAGAAACTGTGTTCACTCCCACTGCATCTCTGTATTCCCCCAAGGACATTCTGTCTTCACTTAGAATTCTTCGGTCTTTGTCCTAAGAAAAGAGCCCCCATTGTGGAGACGGACAGGATTGTAAATGAACGAACAAAACTAAAAGATTCTGTGTAAAATGCACCCGGTGATTACACAGGAGCTTTCCTTTCGGCTTGTTCTTCTAACAAAAAATGGAAGGGCCAGAAACTAACAATGGTGGGAGGGGCAATGGATCAACTCCGCCAACAGAAGGGAGATGATGATTTACATGGCCCTGCTGCTAAAGTCGATCAGTCCCCAATGCCTTCCTCCACAGAAGCAATAAGAAGCTACTCCTTGCCAAGCTTCATGCACTCCTCCGAGGGGGGAGGCTTTGGGGGCATTCACCCCTCCAGAAGAAAGGAACTGTGCCAGGATGGATCACAACAGGCTTTGTACCAAAAAAAAATGGAGCCCCCCTAAATAACCTCAGAGGCTTTAGTGGAGAGAGGAGTCGTTGTGATGCTTACCGGCTGCTGGCTCAGGAGGAGGCTGCGAAGTTGAGGGTTGGCTCCAGGGTTCTGGGGCCGAAGCATAGCACCTCCTTGGGTGGCCTGCGGCCCAGGTTGTGGGGGACCTGGTGCTTGCGGGGGCTGACTGGTGGGTGGAGCAGCTTGCTGGGGTTGCTGCATTCTAATTGGCATCTGGGTTGAGAAAAAGAAAAAACAACACAGAGATGTATCTATGCATGCCCAGGGTTTCTGGAGTTCAAACACTGCCTCGCCCTGCTCTCAGTTTGGAGGGTGCGGCAACAAAGCTGCGTGCAGAGATTGACCCACGAAGGCAAATGAGCTGCCACAAGGTTCACTATGCATCAGATAAGAATCCACCACTTGTTATCCGGTGCAATCAGGCATAGACGCATGACTGGCCCAGCAGCGTTTGAAACATGCCAGTTACAGAAGGGTGTTTTATCAGGGTCTGTATAAGGGGAAGGTGGTTTCTAACAGAGGATGCTCAGAAGGTTGAGTATAACAAACTTAAAAACATAACAAAGTATTTATTACACTGTGTAACAGTTGGAAACAAGACAGATACGCAATAAATGCTAAAATCCAACCTCTAGAGTGAACACGAATCACATATGTGAATATCTCATAAAAAGCCACTAAACCAGATGCATTTTGGCTCACAGAGCCTTCTTCAGTGGCCTAAAACCAAACAGCACACACTTAAAACCATTTACATTGCAGAGGCAATCTTCTGCTGAGGAGCTTGCTTTCTCTGACACTTTGAAAAATACTGGAATTGTGCAAAGGGTAGGGCCTAGAGTGGAGAGACAGGCCTCAGCAGTGCCTGTGTCTGCACCACACGGGAATGAGGAAGCTCATAACTCAAGCCAGTTCAATGCATTATTAATGACCTACAACTCATGATGGATGGTGAGACTTCCCTCACACGGGCACTGGGGGCCAACCTTTTCTTGCTTATAGACAGACTGGTAATAAGGCCCGTTGCGGAAATAAATGTAACGAGCTCAAGAAAGAGAGTCTCTGGAGACGCCGCAGAGAAGAAGAAGATACTGGATTTATACCCCCGCCCTTCATTACCCAAAGGTGTCTCAGAGCAGCTTACAAACTCCTTTCCCTTCCCCTCCCCACAACAGACACCCTGTGAGGAGAGAAAGAGAGGCGGAGGGAGGGAGGGATGGATGGACGGGCAGGGGAGGGAAGAGTGGGACAGGACGACAGAAGCAACCAAGCAAGGTAGACTCAGAAGAACTCGAA